CCGACCGGTGGTTTGGTGGCACGTTAGCCCTGGGAAGCGCGTTGGGCTGGGTCGCTTGTTTTAAAGCTTGCGGGTGCGATGCTTTTCTCGTGCGGCCTCGTTGCGCTCGTCTGACTTTGTTTATGAGCCCAAGTGTAAACGAGATCAAAATTAAACGTTCAGCGTCCGGGAGTAGAAATGAGGAAACCCAGCCTGCCCCCAAGCTGCACCCCTGTACGCAATGCGTTGTCATGACCACCGAACCGATTTTGAGTGGGTTAAGGCCCCAAATTCCCGCTCTTCCACGCAAAATGCTATTCTGTGCCAACAGGAGCATGGTTTCCACTCTTCAGGCTACTTTTACCTCTGCCAGTTTCTCCCTGAAGTTTCTGACAAAGATATTAAAACAAGTTCAGGTTAGAGCTAACTTGCAAGAAGAGGCCGTGCCACCGGCCCTGTCTCGGTACAATTACGTTCCCCTGAAGGCTTTATAAAGTAGGTCCACTGGAAGCTGTTTTGGAAAGTAACAGTGGAGGTTGGTGGCCAGAAACCAAGGTGGCAAAACCTGGCTTCAGAAGTGAGCTAGACCAAAAATTCCCCGTGTGATACATTTAAAAGTGGAGGGATTGGCCAGTGGTGTCATTGCTGGAGTTTCCGGATACCTATACACGAAAGTGAATTGCTGACGCTGTCTTCATAGAAAGCATGACCTGATCAGGCTTTAGAGAACTGGGAAGAACTGGGGCTAAAATACTGGGCTGCCTGAGTAGTTAATGTGTTATTTAAACGCTATCATAATGATGGGTTTTTTTAGATATATCTTTAAAGTAGTCATGGTGCTCAATTACAGGAGCTCTGACTGTTGAAGCACAAGTTATTTCAGTAAAATTAGTGGAGATCTATTTGAAAAAAATAGCCTGCAATGTGAATGCCATATGCTGGTGATAGAACTGCTATTACAGAAATCCTTGTAATGGTTTCTTACTAGGGAACTGTCATGCACTCCATATATGGCTTTTTTTATATTCTGGGGTCATAGGTGAGATGTTGTTAATTGATTATCTCATTTCATTCAGGAAAAGTCTGACAAACCATGTCTAGAAGAAAGTACAGTTGAAGCACTCGAAAAAGACTTCCAAGAAGTCATTGAACTACTTAAGGGAGATAAAACTCTGGAGAAATTCCGAATAGAATATGAGAAGCTCCATGCTGTTATGAAGAAGTCTCATGAAAATGAAAAGCGTCTCATGGAAAAATGCAGGGAGCTGAATGCTGAGCTCGTGGTGAATTCATCTAAAGTAGCTGCACTCACAAAGCTCTCTAAAGATGATCGGGTATCTATATCGTCAATGAAGAGGGTAAGGTTTTCAACAGAATTAAATATGACCTAAATGGCTGATGGAAAACATGGTGAAAAGAACAGCAGCTGCAAGAACACTTTATTTAAGTAGAGAACTAGCCAGAGGATTAAGTATAGAGCATCTCCTGTCCTTTAGCCTCTGCTTTGCTACCGACTGCTTTCTTTCGTTAGCCTGGTATTTTTACCCCTCTCAATCAAATTCCGTGTTTATTTACACTGGACTAAAACAAAGCCAACTCTATTGGCTTTCAAGTACTCACTAATTATTTGTGTTTAAGCTTTAGCTGTAAAATATCATACCTCGACTGTATACTTAATATACAGTTTTTGAGACTGAATTAGTTAATATTTTTGAAGTACTGTTCGGACATTAACTGTTGTCAGAACATGGAAAATCTGCCTACTTGCTGAAATATGGGTCATAGGCTAGGGAAGTGTCATCAACTCATATAAATAAATGGTTCATGGTGTGTTTGAAAAGGAATCCTATATAGCATTTCAATGTGATTTTACCAATTTACTTTGTTATGTTATTTGATTTGAACTCTGTCAAAGTGCTTGGCTCTCTAAAGAACAGCACATGTTTTAAGCCTTATACGGAGGTTTGATTGCCATAACTAAAGCTGTCAAATGATCAGAAGATTGTATTTTGTGCTTTTTTTCCTTCTGATGGTTTTAAAAGCTTACGCTGTGGGATGTAGGCAGACTTTAATTCTGCATTTAGTTGAGAACACCCCATGCCCTGTAGTTAAGTGTTATTTTTCTTAGGACAGGAGAGGCTACAATTATTACTAAATGCTTCAAAAGAGTGATTAATGTCCTTTACTCTATAGACTTATTTTATTCAAATAAAATAAATTCAGTTTAACACTAGAAAGTGTTCTGTGAGCACTAGAGAGATGGAAGAAGTTCTTTAAAATTAAGTTTCTTGTCTTTGGAATTATGGAGAAAATATACTCTGAGTAAACATAACTGGCAGTACTGTCATTCTAAGTCTGCAGCTTGCAAGCTCATGATGCTGTTCAAAGCATCCTCATGGAGGATGAAAACTGCCTAGAAAACCTTGTTGATTTTTGCTGCTGCTAATAAAACCTGGTAGGTGGCTGTCAAGAACTGCAATAATCCTTGTCATTCTCTTTCTGTTATTACATGGCAATGCTCTGAATGGGAGCAGTAGCAGAGGCAATCCTTGAAGGTGTTCCCAAGCTGTGGAGACATCATCTTAGCAATGTCATGAAATTGAGGAGTGGAAGAGTAGGAAAAATAAGGGCCTTTCCAATCTGAGCAGCCAATTTGAAGTTAAGGCAAGGTACAGTTTAGCAACAGCACCCACTATTGAAGCAGCTAGAAGATTTTGTAGTAAAGAAGCTGTTTGACAATATGATCCCATTAGAAACAGCACACAATATCCAACATGTGACCTTTACATTCTAGTGATGTGCTGTGAGACAGGTAAAAAGCACAGATTTGTTTTTCAATTTAGCTATGAGAATTAATCTTTCTCTTAAATGTTCATGAGTTGTTTGGATGTTGTTTAAAATGCTCTGGTCATGTTTTGGGGCTGGGTTTGGCATATCTTTCACATTTCATGCTATTCTCCTTTCTAAAGAGGAGTTCCATTACAGCTGTAGTATTTCACCATAATTTTACTAGCCCACAAAAACGTGTTTCACAGGTGCCTAAGGCAAGTGCCGAGGAAGGTTCAAGCACTCAAACAGTAAAGATGATGATCTTCCGCACTAACTTAAACAAACAATGTGTTCCAGTGTTTCATTATCTGCAAGAGATAGGAGAATCTTGCTGAGGCTGTTCCCGTAAAAATCGTATAGTTACTTCAAATTAAAGCCCTAAGTCTTGGTGATTGATGGGTCATCAGGTAACAGGTTCACAGCTTTCCTCTCCTAGGTCATTGATTCAGATCCAACTACAGGCTCCAAGTCTACAGCCTGAGTTGCAGGGGCAAAATCTTTCTCCCTATGAAGCCTTGTTGTAGTCAGTAGGATTTGTTAAGGGAGGGTTTAATTACCCAAATCAGTTGCTGCTGGACCCAGATCAATAATAATCAATAGCTGTTACTGTCTGATGTCTGTTTGGAGCTTTGTTTTGTAGTTTTAATATATTGTACATAACAGTTTGCTGTTTACAGTCATGTCGGAGGAGCTAAGGGCCAAACTGAACAGTAGGAAAATACAATTCTTTTTTTCATTGATAGGGCTACTGTCCCACAAGGTTGCAGTGGAAGAATACTAGAGAGGGAATTTACAGGAACTCGTACTGCCCTGCTTGGGAGTTACCAAGTTTTCAATTTCCAGGGCCAACAATCCAATACATTAAGTAAGCATTTCATTAATTCTCAGTCTTTGAGCAGTTAAACTGATACGATCTTTTGGGATATTCAATGAAAATAAGATAAAGCAGTCACACTTTATGAATTCTGCTTCACATTTGCCAGAGTACTTCTCAAAAAATTTTTGAATAATTCTGACTGCAAACATCCAGTGTGCTTCCATCTCTAATTATACAGTAGACTGCAGTGCATGTTAAGTACCAAACCGTACACTGCAATTACATCGTGATTCCAACACACTCTGCGTTCTTTCGTTCCACCTCTCCGCTGAGTAGCAATGTGATTTCTTTTTCAATGAAGGCATCCACCAGTCAGAATTTTCCTCCTTTTTACTTTTGAATTTAAAGGAAGCAATCTATTGTTCCTCTATTTAAAGGAAAAGAAACAAACAACTAGAACAAAGCCCAGTTTTGCTGATGCTGAAGGCTGTAGCAAATTCTTATTTAGATTTTGCTTGTTAACAGGGATCATAATCTGTGCCTGTGCACCCTATCACTAAAAATTATTGTGGCATGCATCAAAAGCAGGCTAAAGCTTATAAAGCATATCTTAAGGTGACCTGCAGTCACTGCTTATCGGAAAGGCCTCACTGACTTCAGGGAATCCCTTTTGAGAATATGCACCAGGACAAGGTATAGATACAAGAATAAGGACCTAATTCAGCTTTCACTGAAGCTAGTAAAAAGACTTCTCAATGGGTGGATTGATTTTAATTGCCAGTTCTACCCCCCAAAACTTCAATCATAGCGATTCAGTTCACCAATTTTAATCACAATCTCATCAGCGAGCAGAAGTAATCAACTTTAATCTTATTTTCCTTTTGCATTTTTCTAGAGAAAGATTAGTTGCTCCTTATTGGTTGCTTGATCTGAAACATGTTTATTTACAGCTAAATTTTATGCTTTTTTGCCAGCCAAGATGATACGCTATGTCTTTGTACCATTATTTCAGTCTAGCATACATTTATTTAAATTTCATAATTTAACATTTTTATGTTTAATACTGAATGAAAAATTTCTTATTTACTAGATAGTATTTAATACTTAATGCGTGATCATTGCTACATTTGAATGGAAATTAGAGCTAAAATGTATGAAACATTTCAAAAATGATTTTAATATTTAAAACTGTTTTAAATATGCTTGATACATAATGAAAAAACACATTTTGCAGATTAGATTTTGAAGTAAGTAATTTATTAAGTAACGAGACTACTATAGGTAGTGAAACTACTATTGTAGGTAGTGAATTTAACCAATTATAGTCTCTTCAGAATTTCAAAACAGGTAGGGCTCACCATTTAACTCTTTGTTAATAGGCTGGAAAAAGAAGGAGAACACCACATAGCCCTGATCCTTAAACTCTAGCTAGTTTCTCAAATTTAGATATGCTCAACTAGTGAAATAAATACAGTGAAAATATATTCTCTCCTAGCTTGAAACAGCTATGGCAGTGTTAGCTTTTCAGCAAATTCTGGTACCCAGTAATTTCTCCTAGTTCAATTGCTTGAATATTTAACTTAGACATTACAGCTTAGCATTACATTTATTTAATTTACAAGGGTTCAAAAAATGTATTAAGTATATACCATTATATAGATTGTCATCATTTTGGGTTTAATGTTAAATAGGTTTATTTTTAGAACCAAAAATGTTAATTTAAATAAAGAATGACTATGAACAGTTTGATATAAATTAAAACATCTGATATTCTTCATTGTGGAGGCTGTTTTCAATTTTTAGTGTAATCAATCCCAATCTCATACAGTGCACATGGGGGTTGAAAGGGATCCTGATATAATGATGATTATATCTGGCTCTGCTTGTGGAGACTCTGATGCTTATGTAGATTTGCACGGAGACAGTAGGAGTCTAAATCAGCACAGAAGACTGGCCATCCTGGGACAGAGCAGGTGTCCGTCAAGTCCAGCACTCTATTAGCAGCCAACAGTGGATGCTGTGAAAAGAGTATGAGGGACAGGAAAGCGTACTGCAATTTGCAGCTCAGGGTCTTCATGAATTAGATGTAGTGTTTTCTTTATTTAATGAGTCTTTGAGGACTTCTACAAATTTGCCCAGTCGCTTTCTGAATTTGTGTAACTTTTTAGCACAGAATTTGAGAACTGAATTGAGCTGAATTGAGCATGAGGAGTCATCTATTGATGTTTAAACCTATAAAGCAATAAGCCAGCTTGTAATTCTTAAGGATCTGATTTGAGAGAGAGAGATGCAGAGGAAGTTAAAAAAATAAATGCACCCTTATCCACTATCCCTCTTTGTGGATATCAAACCCTGAGCTTGTGAGAGGCTCACCAGCCTGGCAGTCAGATAATTCCATGTGCTGAAATTTGGCATGAGAATCGTGACTTGTCTAAATATACACTTGAAATTAAAATGCACAAAGTCCTCATAGATGAAAGTGAGCAAAGAGGGAGCCAAAGCCTAGAGTAACATCTTTTTTCTTCTACTCTCAGATATAGTGATTTAGATGCTCATTATCATAAGATTTCTATAGACATAAATAAGCTATTTAAGTAGATGGTGCCTTTGTAGGCCCAGAAGGTTCAGTGAATTTTTTGGTATTAGTGGAACTTGCACAACCAAAAACTCACAGAGTGAGATTTGATAATGTTAAGGCTTGGGTGCTAGAGAAAATATATTAGAACTTTGGTGGTGTAAATTGACATAACTTGAATATCTCAAAATGTTTAATACGTGCTAGTCTGAATGAACAGATGACTGGCAGAAAGAACGGCTGTGAATGTGAACATGAAAAAACACAAAAATCTATTTTCTTAATTAACCAAAATACAAGATAATTAATTTTCAATTTGTTGTTCATTTTCAACAGCATTTAATTTACGTAAGTGTTTTCTGTTTTTTTCCTAGGAGATTGAAAAGGCCTGGAAAATGGTGGATGCAGCCTATGAAAAGGAACAGAAAACGAAAGAAACCATTCTTTCACTGAGAGAGGAAATTGCACGCCTAACTAAATTAGTGGAGCAAGGCTCTGGGCTATCTCTAGGTCAGGAGTCCAAGTAAGTTTTCCCCAGGACGGAGGAAAGCCTGACCTGATTTTCTGTTATCCTATACACTACAAGGTCACTGGAAATCAGAGAGAGAGACGTCTTTTTTCCATTTTACTTTTCTCATATGTGTTTATGCAATGAGCAAGTAGAGAATCAGGCTTTGAGAGAGTTCATTCAGCACTGGATTAAGCTGAGAGATCAAATAAAAGTCAATATTATGGACTTCCTCAGTATCTGATGTAATGTTTCATCTATCTGGCATTTCAACGCATTCTGTCTTTGAGAATAGGATCCTGTGAACATTTTTACATGCAATGGCAGCAGGGTTGAGTAGATAAGACAAAGAAGCAGGGGACTTGACTTCTCTTCCGTTCTCAGCTTTGTTGTAAGGCATCATCACTGTCTGTATTCTTCTGTGTCTTCTATATTTATACATTTTTAACATATGCTTGTTTTTTTATTGAATACTTCTACAGTTATGAGCATAGAGAAACCCTAATCTCAGGTGAAGCCTCTAGTTGCTACCATGTGTAAAAATAATGATTCTGAGGACCTGCAGATTCAAAGTACTCCCCAAAATCTAGTGTTTACAGCATCAGGTCCTCCAGTTGTGCTTACGCTATAAGATTAAGTGCAAACTCAAAGGTGAGATTAAGTATATTGACCCCGAAGACCTATGCGTTTTCTATCCAGATTGCTGGCAGTTAGCCCAGCTAGTTCTCGCTTGAAATGTTCACCCTGTGTAAGGTATTTACATTATGCATGCAGGATCTCTGCTGGTGCATGGAGTTTGCTCATCTCTCCACACACTATGTAACCAGGCTGCATAAACAAGAGCTGTGTCTGCGATTTTGGCCTGCAGTACGTTCAAACTTTTCCTTTCCAAGACCCGTGCCAGCACATAAACCATCTCTAGATGCCTGAGAAATCCACCACGTCTTTTGGCCCTGAGCTGTTCTGGTCCTGCATAACAGGTTTATCTGGAAGCTACAGGCTTGGCTGACCAGCCTGCCTCAAGTAAAATTCTCCCTAGAGGCAGCTGTCTGTAGCTGCTTTTTGCATTTTCCTGCAAATGCCGTTGCTGTGGCTTTGTCAAGGCCTCACTCCTGCAGTTGCCAGCTGCCCACCAGGCTATGGAGACCTGTCTGCTCAGGATTTCTTCTGGAAGTTCCTTCTGTGTTGCTCTCCAGTTCAATGTTTAAATGCTCTATTGAGTGATAGGGCCATGGGACTTGGCACCTCCTTTCTAGGCTTTCAGGTCTATATGGCATTTCCAAGTCTTTCAGAATAATAACCCTGGGTTTTCAGGTGGAATTTGAACCCACACTGTGCTGCTTAGATTTTCCTTCAGACTGTAAATGTGTCCAAATGTGGAATCTGTTTTATTCTTACATTAGGTGACTGCAAGACATTATCCAGTTAGGTGCTCAGATAGGTAAGTTGCAGAGAGGCTATTTGCAATAATGTAACAAGGTTGCTGACTAGTTCTGCAGTGGCTGGGGAGTTTTGTTCCCTGTTACCATTTTGGTAAAGTGAAAGTTTCTTCAGACCCAGGAGGATGGCAAATAAGAAGAAAGTTATTTGTTATTTATTGGACTAGATTAGGTTTTAAAACTGTTTTGATGGTGACTGTTTAATAATTACAGGAGATAGAGCATATAATCTGATTGACTAGTTGAGGCCTAATCGAAGAGGAGTTTAAAATGAAAGAAATGACTTCTCCTGTTTCTTGCTCTGGTATTGGTGGAAGAACAGAAACAGTCTTTGACGCTACTCAACTATTATTTCCGTTCTTCCAGTGTCCGGGATTTGCTAAAATATAAAGAAGAGATAACAAAGGAGCGAGACCAACTCTTGTCAGAGGTCGTGAAGTTACGTGAAAGTCTAACTCAAGCCACAGAGCAGCAACAGGACACAGAGAGAGCAAAAACCGAGGCGGATCAATCCATAATGCAGGTCAATACAGGTCACCTGGTGGTGATTTTAGGCTTTGTCCCGAACCATTCCCCGCCTTTGCAATTAATCTCCTTTGACTAATGTGCTGCCACCTGTTATTTCACATCTCAGACCTTTTCAAGAGCACTCAGCAAAGAGTCTGTTATGAGTGGGTTTTATATTTTTCTCTATTTCTAGGCCATGTCCTTTGCAAAGCATATTGTCATTTACCAGCTTCTCAGTACCCTGAGTGGTGCCAGGGTTCCTCTGCCTGAATCATAGTTCTCTTTCATACTGGAGATACTTTTTTTCTGCACTGTAAATCCACATGCCTCCAAACAACTGCTTAGAACGTAGACCTGGAATGGATATCCTCAGTCCCCTGCTTTTGACATTGGTTGTTATATGGTGTCATATCATCGTTTTTAGGAAGATACCAAATTCTGACTTAAAAATTAGGCTGTTTGCTCCCCTATTGCTTTTGGGAGGCTTTTCCAGGACCTCGCTTTTGTGATAGTTAGAAATCTCCTTCTTCCTTTGTCACACTAATTTAAACTTTCTATTCTTCAGCTCAGGTAAGTTTTCTTCTCCCTAGTGTTTGTAGAGAGCAGCTGTATTCCATCTCAGCCTTGCTCTTTTTGTCTCCTCTTTAAGTTTGTTTCTCATTTTTTCTGGCCGTCTAAGTAGATGGGTCTTCTTTACTTAGTGATATGTATATATTCTTTATAAAGGTGTATAGCAGCTAAAGAAACAAAGCTGAGGGGTACTAACTAAATGGAGAGAAAGCACAAAAGGGAAAATGGGATGGAAAACTCTGATATATCAAAGTATAAAAATGTGATAATGAGGAATAAAAGAATTTGGAGCAGAATGTAGCTAGGAGTCGGAGTAAGACAGCAGGAGAAAAAGGAAAAGGACCACTGAGAAAAAGGAAGAAGACCACTGAAAAAAAAACAGAAAGAAAAGAGAGATGGAAACAGTATTTGGCTTACGGTTTTTTATTAATCATAAATAGGACAGTAATGATCAGCGCAGGTTCCATGTGCAATACTAATTTCTGTTTCTAAAGCAGATAGTTGGGAATGTAATACAAGAGAATATACGTCTTTGCTTTCCTGACAGCATTGTGAGGCACTGCAGAAAAGAGGGCGGAGCGAAACGCCCATCAAAACTTACTGAATCTTGCCAGCTTAAATCTTCTGACATTTACTTCATCAGCCATTAAACTTACAGGATTGTTACAACATGTGAAACCACCTCCCATTCTCCCAGTATGAAATTATTGTCCTTCAGACTTACTCAGAATTATTTTCCTTCAGAATTATTTACTTTAGACTGCTTACATCTTTTTGAAGATCCTACTGAAGACCCTGTCAGTTCTGGCAACTTTTCATCTGTGGACTCAGAAGGAAAGGAATCTTTGGTTTAGACTTAGCGCAGCAAGTAGCATCTTTCAATTGCTTGTCCCTGGATGAACTGAACATTTCCATGTGGATCAACCCCCCTGTGGCTCTTCTCTGCTGATTCTGTTCCATCACATTTTTGGGGAGGGAGAGAACAGAAGTCACAGGCAGTCTGTTATGTATAATATAAGAGAAAGCTCCCCTTTCAAAGTTCCTGCAGAGGAACTTTCAGAGCAGAAAGATTGAGAGCATTTATGAAAATGAACATTGCTCTGACGTCTCTCCCTTTCCTTTATAATCAGTGTGATAAGTGTTTCTGCTAGTGAGATAGAAAAATCAAAATAAAAATACTTGAAATATAACATGAAGCCCAAGTTAGTTTTAACTCTGTATTCAGAAAATATAACTGTACAAGTAACTTAAAAATGACAATCCATTTGTGCCACTGTATCTCCAGAGGAATGGTTTTATGTCTGAACTCTATCAGACCCTTCTGCTTGGATGGACTGATTAATGCTTAAAAAGTTCTTGTCATCAATAGATGGAATCCCTCATGTAGAAATTTTAGTTCAACCACTGGAGAACGTATTTGATTCTGAGATCTTACATATTCCATCTAGTAATGGATACAATAACATGGAAGCCATTGTTTTCAAAATTAAGCATAGTAAAAGGTGAGGTCAGAGGTCTTGTTTCCCTGAATAAAAAGCAATAGAACTTTAACTTTTATCCTGTCTATTATTACAGCTTCAGCAAGAAATCCAGTTACGTCAGAATGAGGCAACTCGAGAGGCTCGAAAGAAGGAAAAAATGGAGAAGGAGCTGAAAAATCTTCTAGCTGAAATGGATAACAAGCAAGCTGAGATTAAGACTTTACAGCAACATATTCAGAAGAACAAAGAGGAACAACTGAAAGTGGAACAGCACCTAAAAGAGCAGAAGGTAGGGTGTGTGGCACCCTATATTCATCACGTCTAAGATTAGGATCAGATTTCAAAATAACAAGAAAATTGACTTTTTCACGAAGGGAGAGTGAGGGAGGTTATTTTGTAGTCGATACATTTTAATAAATAAAAATTTATCTTTATATACATATTATTTTTTTAATAAATAAATATTTAAAGCTTGCTCTCAGACTTCAGGTAGAATTCCTCATAGAAATCAGTAGTGTTCTGCTCGGATCGTGATGACATTACTGGAGATCATATCAAAAAGACCCCAACAAATGGGACAAAATCCACGAACGGCATGGATGATCTCATGATTGTAGCAGGAGATTGCCGGGTTCTGGCATATATTCCCAGTTTTGCTACTACAGTATGTTTGGTAAAGTCATTTTACTTCTGACTCCTTTTGTTTCTGTCACAATGACTTTTACCTACCTCCTGGGCTTGTGGAATAGTTTCTGTCAAAGGGCAAAGAATGGTCTTAGTACACTTTTTTGATTGATTCCTCCCTTCTGTTTCCAAACACTTTATCTGGAAATGTCCTAACGTAGTGTTCTGCAAGTGTTTGAATTTTCAAGTTTTCAGTCTATTTCCCCTGACTCTGAGAAACTCTCAGAGAAGCAATTTCAGTAAATGACAGAAGAGATCTCATCACTATAAAGCAATCCTTCCTTGAGGGAAACTTCCTTGGGAGCTGTGTGTATCTTGTAAATTTACGGCTGTTTCTTCCCTTCAGGTCCCTGAATTGGTGTGGGGGGAGACCTGTGACAATTATTTTGTTATGTCATTATGGAGTCTTAATAAAATACTTCACATAAAGAGATAAAGAAAAAGATTGGTTATTTTTCTGAGTATGACTGGATTGGATGCAGCTTTTGCGGGCAGCTCTGTGATCTACTGACATAATCGTATTGTTTTTAAATAGGATATCTGCAATTCCTGGTTCCATTCTATTCTTCCTCCTGCTTTCTATAGTCCCTTTCAAGCTTCCTAAATGCAGATTTTAGGGATATTCAGTTGTTGAACCTATCCTGGAAACTAATAGTTCACATAAAGTGCAGTGCCTAGGCTAATTGACCAGGTGATTGCAGTATCTTCATTGCCCCTGCAGGCTCCTGAGCTGTCCGTGGAGGCACTGCATTGTGTGCTGCAGAAAGACTCTCCAAAGCATAGGCAAGACTCAGGTTATAGATGTACAAGCGAAGGTATCTGAGCTATTGCAACGTAATAAGGTTATTGTTTATCAGCTGAGTTGTAGCTGGATATGATACTTGCTCTTGTACCACTCATTTATAATAAAGTATCCTTCCTTGCACAATAGTGAAGATGGTTTGATACAACAGCTGTATGCTTCATCCCACTCATGCCCAAGTCTCAAGAAAGAAACCCCTGAAACACAGTGTAATCCTGACGTTTGTAATACAAGAAAGAGTATTCTCACTTTCTACATTGTCTTTGTTCTCTGCATGCATTTAGAAGAGGGAGATCCCACTTCCCTTCCTTTAATTTTTTTTTCAGAGTATAGTACATATTGACACTATCAGTCTGTCACACGTGGGTGCTTGAAGTCAAAAATATGATGATCATTCTTCCCTCACTTACGGAGTAATGTCTGTTAGGGCAAGTCCCATCAAGCAGAAGAAAAGACTGGCAGTTCCGAAACTGAAATATATGGTCTCCACATAAACTATGAAACTGCTGTTCCAGGCTTTTGACTGAAGACAAATTAGAGAGGAAAATGGTTGTGTCCTGGTCTCAGCAAACCGTGTGCTCAGAGAAATGTTATAGACATGTTAATGTAGGATTTGCTTGCTCAGATAAAGAGCTCCCCTGCCCTCTGCTGATTGAAGTCATTTGAATCTTGTATTCATTTGCAGTGATTATATATAGCAAGTTGTTGTGCTGTGTGATGCCTGCCAAATGCCAAAGAGGAATTAAAATATTTATCTACCACCTGTGAGGGAGACCTACCAAGCTCCCAGGAAGAAATGACACTGGCTATGTTATTCATTAGAAATTATCCTTTTCCCTAGCCAATATGAATGTTTATCAAATTTCACATTAGTAATTTCATCAGCAATAAAGAGTGGTTTTTAACCAGACAACAATCTGCAGCAGCTTTCATCTCCTGGGGAGACAGAATATTCTGCCTTCATGTATATGTAGACGTTGTAATCAGATTAGAAAGAATTAACAGGATTGTTCTTTAATCTAACAGATCTTGAATGAAAGAGCTGGCAAGGAACTTGAGCAATTTCAGATTAGAAATAATAAGCTCATGCAAGAGAGTGAGCAGCACAATATGATGTTTGAAGAAGTGATGCAGGATGTCCAGCAGAAAACAGCGGAACTGAAAGTAAGTGCCAGAAGATGTATGTATCTTATCAGCCGTATCACTGACTGCAGTCATACAGCTTGGAAAAAGGATCGTCTCAGTTCTTGTACTGATAGTTCCCAATTGGTACTTATGGGGAAATCTGAGGATTATAGGAATAGATCTCACTGGGTGCCATTCTCTCTGAGTACCACGGGGTAGACTCCAACCATGTCACCTGAAAACAGAGCACTCGTGCTCCTGGAGGAGTTGTGTTTTGTACAACACATAAGCCAAAACGCTCAACCGGCTGTGGTCACAGAAGACCCATGGTACTTTTGACAAGCACAAAGTCTTTTTTGGATTGCAAGATATTCAGATAAGAGCAATGACTTTCTCACTGTGATTAGCAAAACTTAAATGTTGCTAAAACCCATTAATAAACAGTAATAAATTATAAGAATAGTGTCCTGGATATCTTCCACTGAAGGGAGTTGCTTCCTACACTTCTTTTCTCCCCCCCCTCCCCATCCCCTCCCCCAAGACCAGCTGAGGAAGTTAAACATAAATAAGCAAGCTGGTGTTTATGTTCTGGTCTAAATTGTTTTCTTGTCTGACTTTGCATCGTTAAATGGTTGTTTTGTACCATTCCAGAGGCAGCTGAATTTCAGCTGAGGAAGGATTAAATGATTCCTGTATTTGCTTTTTGGGGTAGTTTGAGAGCATTTGTGAATAAAGGGTAGCGTGCAAATGTTAGTTGTTATTACTTTATGGCTATCATGTCTTGTATTTTGTATCATCATTCTGGTTAAAACACTAAGCGTGTTAGAAAATAGGATAGAAAACCATTATCTTATCAAGCTCTAGTAAAGTATAAGCAATTCACCTAAATAAAAAGGTTGTTTGCCAATAGAGAGCTTTTTTGAGTAGGAACTGTTAGTCGGAATGATAAAAACTTACTACTGACAGATTAAAAGCTCAGTCTAGAACTAACGTGACATAGAAGATTCGTGATTCGGACCCTTAATGGATTGCATGGTAGGAGTTTGTTTTCTGTTGCATTTTATTGGGCAGATTGGAGGACATTTTTATTACCTATTTAGGAAATGAATTACTGTGTCCTCCAGGTCGTCTGTCTTTATCTTTATAGCCATATCATCATTGTTTAAAAAACTTTACAAAGTGTTCAGCTGAGCTATAAGTATGGGGCTCTCGATTTTAAAAGGAGGATTTTATTTCTATAATCTAATCCTAACTTCAAGAAAAGTTGATGGAATTTATAGTCATGCACACGAACTTCTGATGGAAAAAATTAGAAGATGCTGCACAGTTATTATTTATGCAAATTGGTAAAGTTTCTAGGAACCCCAGTCCAGAGAGGTCCTCTACTTGCCGTTTAACCCTGCAGTCTGCTGAGCACCGCTAGTACGGTGTTAGGCAACCCAAACTGTCAAAGTATTCATAAATCTCTTGAAGGTTATTGTAGTCAGTAAGGGTTGTGGAGATTCGTATCCTCCCAGGGGATACTCACACGGAAAGATTCTCCATCTTGCAGAATCGTTGTCTGGGACTGCAAATGATATGCTATAGTCTGTGATAGCTGTAAAACCTTACAGAGGCACTGAAATCGTACGAGGAAGTTATGTTTCCTTCTTGAAAGGCACAGGATAAATTTGTGTTTTGATTATTGGTTGTAGTTCCTGGTAACCAACCAGTTCCTGCATTTTCATGCAGGGAAATTTTCTCTTCTGAATGCGTAGCAAATAGTTTCTGGTAACCAGTTCCTGCATTTTCATGCAGAGAAATTTTCTCTTCTGAATGCGTAGCAAATGAGATGAATGCTACATTTAGCTTTTTCTTTAAAGTCATGGGTTATAACAGAAATGAGGATAATAGATACCTGCTATTAGAGACATGGGAATTACAACATCAAGTCACACTACAGAGACCTTTCTCGTCACAGTCACTGTCACTTGTCAGGAAAGCAAAGCTGACTGTATGTAGTCTGCAGGGCTAATTTTGTAGCACTTTGTATGGTTTGCAGCTGAGGATTCTTTATGGATCATCTTAGGCCCTGAGGCATAAGATTTGATTATCATTTTCCTTGCTCTAGCTAGCTTTGTTTAAATTATTTTTAATAGGGTTCAATTATCTAATCATCTTCTCTCAAGCCACCCACAGCACTTAACGCCTTTACTTCCTGGGGCACTGAATTGCACAGAATAGCTATATACTGAATACAGGGGCATTTTCTTTTTGTAGATTCCTTCTCTCCCCATTCCTTGTTGCTGTTCTATAGGTCAGAGATGATGAAGTGACTCAGATGCGTCATGAAATTTCAAAGCTGAACAAGGTAAGAGATGTTCTTCAGAGTAAGCTTCGTGTGGCAGAGGAACAGAAGGTTGATGCAGAATATGACAGAGATACCCTAAAAAACCAAGTGTCTGGACTAGAGAGAGGTAGGTGTCTAAGTGATGAATGGATCTGTCTTCTATTCTTAATTTGTTCATTCAAAGTACACCTTCCTATTAAGATCACTCCCCTTTAGTGCCTGGTATAACACTATATTAATGACAGTTGAAGTGTAGATCAGCCTTGGCTTTTAAGGTTATAGAATTTTTACAGTGCAGCATATATAGGATGAAAATGCAATAGACATATCTGAGTGTTATGGTGTGCCAATTTGTGCCGTGTCACACAGAGAGATGCCCTCAAACTCCCTTCATTTCTTAGCGTTCCAGTGCATTGCCTTCCCTGAGCTGCAGTGTTAGTGTAGCAGGTTTTAATTAATTTTACAATGTAATGAAACCATATTTCTCTTCAGTTTTTAATAACATTTTAATAGTATATGTATAGTGTTAATCATGACCCATGTTAAGTACTTTTAACTCCACTGAACCCAATGGAATACGCTGCTTCCCAGGAGAACTGGATTTGACATAGAGAGATTAGAATAACTGAAAGTCTCTGTTTTTGAGAGTGCCTCAACTTTTGGATACTTCTTTGAAGTTTCTTGAAAGGCTCTAATTTTCAGTGTGCGCTGTGATTTCTGAAAATCCAACTTCTTTGTGGTATCTGCGTTTGAACAACCAAATATAATGAGTCCTCATATCATTAATCACTGTACCTGAGTTCTTCTAAGTACCCAAATAAGTGTTAACATCATTAGCTGATACCTGAGTCTGCAAAACCTCATCAGAGCTAATTGAACTGGTCATATAACATGAAGGCTTTTTAAGAAATCCACTAGGTCTTTCTGTATTTTTACCTGTGTACAGCTTGAACCCAGGATTTACACTCTTAAATATCTCTAGAACTGGAGGCTGCTAAAAAGCAGGCAGAGGTTGACAAGAAAGCTATAGATGAGCTTGTGAGGGAAAGGGACATACTAAACAAGGTGAGCTTGCTTTGGTAGTACTGGTAAGCGGATCTCTTGCCTGAGAATGAAATGTCTGTTGTTTAAACCCTCACAGAGAAACACATGTATGATAGAATAAATAACATTCTGAGTCATGGAGACATGGATTTCCTTAACAGGATGCTTATGCTGCTTCTTTTCTATGCATTGAAATAGCATTAGTACCCATAAGCAACAAAGAGATTTCTAAGTTTTAACATACAAACCATCAGGGAGTTCAAAAGTGATACATGTATTCACCTTTATTGCAAAGCTGTCATTTGATATCCTGAGTTGATTACTTCTCTGCTTTTACTCACTGTAGCATATGAAGTTTAATATTAGCCTAGACAAACTGAGACTGCACTAGTAAAAAAAAAAACAAAATGTTGGTCTGCTTGTCAGACTGTGTTAATTCTAAACCTTACTTTTAAGTCCATTTCTCATACTGATCATTTTCTATCAGTCCGAGGTTCCTGTACTATGTGATAGCATCTCATGTTTATGGGCACTCCTGAAGTTGAATCTAGTAAATTTAATGCTAAAAGATGATCTCTGAGTTGCTTCACTTAGTGTAGATTCGTTGTCCTGCACCTTGTCTCTAGCAAGGATTTTGGAGAGAGAAAGTAACTGTTTTGTAGTAGACAAAGCAATTTTAAAGAGGGACCAGAAGGTTGATTTTGTAAAGACCTATTTTCTGTTTAATCTTTATGCATAACTTCTAAGCAAAGTTTGCTTAATTCAGTCTGAACTCACTACTTAGGAAATGCGAAGGAAGGGTATTTGAGCTCATTTGTTATTTTACTGGCTATTGGTATGCTTTACAATTTAAATGCCTTGAAGCGGATTAGGTTTGTCCAGTCCATTATACCCCCTTGTTAGCAATCCTCTCCATTTTTCTGTAATGCAGACACTAGTGTTTTAGCTTCACATCACAAAAAGCACTGCCAATAGCAGTTCAGTTAAAATTGTTTGTCGTATCTCAGGCTCAAGTATTTCAACTGAGCAAATTAGGTAGTAACACTGGGAATTCCATAATTCACTTAGATAACTACTTTTTTTTTGACATAGTAGTGGCAGTGTTTCAGCTTAAGAGTCCTTATTTTGTGGTTCTCTCTGCAGAACTTAGTCAAGGCTACCAGTGCCACTCAAAAGCAGATTAATTTGGTGAAGATCCATGAACAGTCCAAGAAGAACTTGGAAGAAGAAATCCAGAATTATAAGAATGAAGCTCAGAAACAAAGGAAGATTATCTACCAGTTGGAGAAGGAGAGAGACTGTTACATCAATGAAGCAGGTGAACTTAAACAGAAGGTAGGGATAGATTTTTGTATGAGAGGTTCTTTCTCCTCTTACTCTCAAAGCTGTAAAGATCACATGTTGATTTCCTTACATGTCAGTGGGAGGAAGCTTACATCAGTTGCCTTCAGACAATCTACAGAGATTTCTTCTAATCAGTGCATAGTGCCCTGTACTGTGTTTCAGTCTCTTTGGGGGACCTTACTGATGGGTGTGTATTCTATGAGAAGCTTGGAGTATGGCCACATAAATTTATCGTATTCACCTATCATTTGGGAGATGAAACTAGGGTTAGTGTTTAAACCAAGGCCTCTGTCTTCTTATGGCTGAGCCCTGCAATCAAGCCTCTTGTATGCAGTTAGAACTTTTTGATTGTTCTGTTTTATCTGCAGAGGACCTTATCTTGCATACTGCTGGTGTCCTCAAATTCTGCTGAAGCCTTTGGGAGCTGGCAGTGCTCAGCATCTTTATAAGTGACTCTGCATTTTGAAGAACTGATTCCAAGCTGTGTAAAACATCAGCTACATCTGAACATGTTCAGTTTAGTCAGCAAAACAGGGGTTTTCTGGGAACGTCTGCAGAGAAACACTGCAGAAAGTTTGTTTTATCTGCTGCCCATTATTATGTACAACTTTATTCCTGAAGGTATGCTGAAGAGTATGATTGTAACATGTTCCATTAGTTGCTGCAGATCATATTGAAGGGCCCTCCAAGAAGTTAATCGATTTACTGGGATTAGCTTTCAGGCTGTCTCAGCTCAGAAATTATTTGCTATCTTCTTACTTTATAATTACCTTTTACAACTTCATGTGATCAGGGGCTTTTAAATCATTTTTGAATGATACATGCTCCCTTGTCTGGCTTACCTTGTGTCATTTCCTTGGAATAATACTCAATGGAAGTGAGATTTGTCTTTGTTGCAAAGTCATATTTAGCATCTTTCCCTTTTATTGCATCTAACAGTATGGGTATGAGTTAAGATCTTTGTAAACTAGGGCCAGGCAGTAATTCATAACACTCAGAACTGCAAGGCTATTGCTTTCAGTTCTGATTAGGTTTGCTCACAATATTTTGAGGGTGAAAATGACAAATGTTTGCTTGTTTTGTTTTCTTTCTTTTTTTTCTTTTGTTCTGCCACTTTGGGTGCAAATTCTCTGACATTTATTACAAGGCAGAGCCTCAGTAAATAGGTTGTGACACTTGAGCTGTTTGTAGAATGATGCCTGCTTTGAGATTGCACATTTCCAAAGGAGTGTTGTACTTCTGTGTTTCACTAATGGGGCAAATCCTGATTCAGCTTGCAGCTGAAGTGCAGCAGGGGTAGTGCTGAGCAGGGAGCATGTGAAACAATAATCTTGTCTCTGCAGAGTTTCCCAATATGAAACTACTCGTTGTTTGAAAGGATAAAACAGGGGAAAAGGGGTAGAAAGAGGTGAGAGGATCAGGATTATTATATCCACTAGATAATACTTAGGTTCACTATTTGATCCTTTCAGCTGGGTACCTTGAAAAATTGTGGCAAAGCTTATGTAATACAGGAACTGTTTCACAACTGGTGAGGAATGGACTACTGACGGACAGTGATTGTACAAGCATTCAAGGCTCTTCCATCACGTTTTACCACCTAGGAGAAATAAGCAGCCTCCAAAGGAGGTCAATGTGCACCTTCTGAATTGTGGAACTGCTGGTAAAGAGCCAAACCTATATACGTTGAAAGACTTTTTGGGACTCCAACAAGGCAGATAGAGCCAGACAAGGTTCTGAAAGCTATCTATTTATTTAAGGCACGACTGAACCTATAAAGCCACAGAATTCCACTTTCAAAATCTTCATTTATTCCTGAGTCACTGATGAATAGGGTCAGCAAAGTTATATCCACAGTGGTAAAGGATTTGAATGGTGAGAAGTCATGCTAGGCTTACTATTCCAATTACTGGCCTGATTGACTGCTCCTCTGTACCATTTTTAAGCCAGTGTTACTTGTTGAATAGTGTTACTTCTAGATTAACCAGCAAAAATAAGAAAAGAATCTGGCTCTTTGCTCCTTCTTGTGTGGCCTTTATTACTGATCTACAAGTGTTATAAAATATTCCTTTTTCACCTGAAATTCTTAGATTATGAAATCTTAATTTCCCTGTGGCAGGTTTAGGCTCCCGGAAAGCAAGCAGTCAAGCATATTCTTAATCTCACCTGAAGTGTTCCCTGACCATGCCTTGTGATAAAGCACAAAACCAGTCTCTGAAACACTGCTTTTCAAAAAAGCTATTTTAAGTTTAACAACATGCCCAGGGAAATTCAGAAACACGTTTCTTTTTTTTTTTTAATATGCATCATTTCTGGAAAAACCTAATGCTCAATAGGCATACCATTAAGACAACGGGCAGGACTTTTCAGAGTGGTTAAGACAGGTAAGCAAATAAGTACAGTACTGTTACTGAGTTCTTGGGTAGGTTCACTGAGCTAAATAGGTAACAAGTCGTACATGGTAGTTAAACACACAGACAAAAAAGTGTGAGGCTACAGGAGAGAACTGGATATCTAGTATTTTCTGCTGAACTTTGGCAACTCATTACCAAGTCTGGGAGGTGCCATCAACTCAATCAGAATAGAGAATGCTCAGCCTCCCACAGG